GACAGACGGAGAGGACGATTCAATCGTTAGAAGATTTATTGCGTGCTTGTGTTTTAGAGAAGGGTGGAGCTTGGGATAGCTATTTGCCATTGATTGAATTTACTTATAACAATAGTTACCATTCGAGTATTGGTATGGCTCCGTTTGAGGCATTGTATGGTAGACGGTGTAGAACGCCTTTGTGTTGGTATGAATCTGGAGAGAGTTCAATAATTGGGCCAGAGATTGTTCAGCAGACTACTGAAAAGGTCAAATTGATTCAAGAGACGATGAGAGCTTCTCAGAGTCGTCAGAAAAGTTATCATGATAAGAGGAGGAAGAATTTAGAATTCAGTGCTGGAGATCATGTGTTTATGAGAGTTACTCCGATGACGGGTATTGGTCGAGCGTTGAAATCTAAGAAGTTGACTCCGCGTTTTATTGGTCCGTTTCAGATTACGGAAAGAATTGGAGAAGTTGCTTATCGTATTGCTTTACCTCCGAGACTTGCGAATTTGCACGATGTTTTTCATGTTTCTCAGTTGAGGAGATACATTCCAGACCCATCTCATGTAATCCAAATAGATGATGTACAGGTGAGAGATAACCTGACAGTAGAAAAATTGCCTATGAGGATAGAAGATCGGGAAGTGAAACAGTTAAGGGGTAAAGAGATAGCATTAGTGAAGGTTGCTTGGGGAGGTCCAGCAGATGGAAATATCACTTGGGAACTGGAGAGCCAGATGAAAGAGGCTTATCCGGATCTGTTCGTCTAAGGTATGTTTTCGAGGACGAAAACTCTTTTAGTGGGGGAGAGTTGTAACACCCCAGTTTCAATTATTTGATTTATTTAAATTGGGAAATTATTTTATTAGAATTAATAAAATAAAAAGGAATTGTCTATTTTGGAATATTTGAAGAAAATAAAAGAAATAAGAAAACATTGGGTTTTTAAGTTATTGGGCTTGGATGTCGTTAGTAAAGAGTGGGGGTGCAAAAGAAATAAGGATATATTTTGGAACTCAAGTTATTTTCTCATTATTCACGATAACACAGAATTTGGGAAATTTGGGAAGCTGAGCTCTGAAGGTGCGAAGAACGAAGAACATCGCTCAAAGAACTCAAGCTGCAATTTGATAAGGTAAGGGGGCTACTACTCAATTTATATTTGCTTATGGGTTTAGATGCAATTGGTTGGGTAATCGTAGGATAACCCCATTTTCTCTGATGTTCTTAGTGATTGATAACTTTAGGGTCAAATTTCGTTAGGAAGGATTAGGTTCCCTAAAGGTTGTGAATCGGTTAAGAAATTAATCCCTATTGTTGATTTAGATCGAAATTGTATGATCGTGAATTTACCTTAGGTGTTCTAGGGATAACATTGATGTTGTTAGAATTTCCCTAAAGGACGGGTAATATGTAACTTAAGGTCATTTTTATAAAACTTGTTGTTGATGAAAGAATGGTTGATAAAATAGGATGTTTTGAGACAAAAATTCTGAGTTGTGTATGATTTGAAAAATAGGACCTTAAGTGAAATAATGTTGTCCTTAAGATGGGAAATTGACTAACGTAGAAGGGAATGGTGTTTCCAATTGATGTGTTGCTTTGAGTTATGCATAATTGATGTTGTTATGTACCGAAATGTGCGTTTTGGCTGGTATTTTTCGCGTTTGGCTGCTGTTCTGAGCTGCTGTAGGTACAGGAAAAATCTGGCTCGCGCTCATCAACACGGGCCGTGTTGATTCACACGGGCACCCGTGTTGATTCACACGGGCACCCGTGTTGATTCACACGGGCACCCGTGTTGATCCCCTGTATTGATAAAATAATGCGTTTCTGGACACATTTCCACACGGGCAGTGTTGTTTCACACGGGCACCCGTGTTAAACCTCCTGTGTTGTTTTCTGAATTTTGTTTTCTATGCATGCTGTTATGTACGGGATTGATTCGGTTTTGATGTGCAGTGTTTGATATGTTTTGCATATGCTGTTTATTGATTTCCTAGTGTTGATTGATACTTGTATCGAATAACGATTGTATGTTATGATACCAACACTATATGGATTTTATTGTCATGCTTTTAGATAATGTTATCAAGCATGAATTATGATATAACTTGATATGATTGGTTGATGTTTAATAGTATGCTGAGTGATTACATGCTATTCATATCGTGTTGTATTTGATATTGTCGATGTTACATGATATGGTTTATTGATGTTAATAGTATGCTGAGTGTTACATACTGTACATATCATGTTGCATTTGTTAATTCCCATTGTGTGGAATTAACATGGTGGCCAATATACGTGTCCGCGATTTAATGGAACGTTGAGGTGGTAGCCGTGTCCGCGATATAATGGAACGGTGAGTTATCCGTGACCCGAGATTTAATGGGGCGGTAAAATGGTACCACATGCATGGGTGTGTTGCATTATATTGAATATAACATGAATGGATGATTTTCCAATGTTGTATTTAATTGATTGTATGCATGTATTGCTGCTAAATTGTTAATGACGTTTGATGTTAATTATAAGTATGAAAAGTGATATATTATGAATATATGAGTTGTAAAGGTTTTCGTAAACTATGAAACATGCTAACTGTTTGGGTGATGCTTATGGTTTTCTGAATTGATTGTTATGAACGTATAAACAAATGTATAGTTGAGATGCTCACCCTTACTGTTGAATATTTCAGATTGAGGAGCTTCGTTCAGGTGCTTGGCGAAGGCTTGTTGTTTCTAGTTTATTTTCGTTTAAGTATTGTCCGGGTCATGCTCTGATAGTTGTAACTCCGGGAACGTTTGTTTGTCGAGCTGCTTTAGTCAGACTCGTTTATTTCCTTATGTTTGTTATAATATGATGTTGATATATTCCAGGTGTTAATCCCTGATGATTTTGAAAATATTATAACATTGGTTTTGTTAATTAAATTATTCCGCTGTGTAAACATGTATGAGTTGCTTCTATGTTATGCATGACAGAAACTTGTTTTTATTAAAAGAGAATTGTGACATCCTCGTTAATACATGTACTCTGAAAATATGATTTTAATTATTTGCGAAATTTTATTCGGGGTTTTAGAGGGTGTTACAAAGTGGGCTTCAAGACTAATCAAATGTCATCAACCATTTGGTCATTAAATTGTCAAAAAAAGTCAATTCAAGAATATTGGAAAGCAAAGGCGTGTTGATTGTTTGGAGTTAAAGTTACAAGTTACAAAGTTCAACGTACATCATTGTTTCATTAACAATTCATCATCATTATTCGAATTTTGCATATCATTCATCATTTAATTCATTCAAATTCAACATCTCAATATTCATTGTTCAATGTTCACTCAAAGATTCATGTCCACTCAACCATAATTTTTCTAAGCATCATGCAAAGATTTTCAAACAATTCATTTCAAATTTACAAATCCATATTACATTCTAAAGAAACTACAAAAAGATTGTAAATTTTACAAAGCTACACTAAATCTATCCTGCCTAATCTTTAGCTCCATCATCTTCCATGCTATGACTTTATGATGCCATTTTTAAAACCTCCAAACTCTTTGCTAACTTCGATTTAACCATGTACAAAATTGCTTCTGCGATAGGTTTCATGTCCAGGCTCCAAGCTTTCCTTTGCAGCAAACCTGCTATCATATTCACATTCATATAAACTGAATCACTTATCAAAATAGACCATAAAAACCAGTTCAGAGAAGAAAATTCAAAAATCAGTTCCATGTTTGCACAAAATAAAATCGTCATGTATCAGGAAATTAAACCATATGGGAAGTATTATTCAAAATCAGATTGGAGAGTGTTGCACCCTAAAATTTTCCCTCCTAATTTCTTTCATTTGACTTAGACTTTTGCATTCATCTTCATATATTCCATTAGGTCACTAACATGGCATACATTTCATTCAATATAGCTCTGAGGTTCCAAGTTCACTGATTGTGTAATATTAGGGTTTTACACTGGTTAAGGCGTTCGTATCTAATAAAGGTTGATTTCTTCTTCAAGTAATGATCAGTGGAATTAGGGTTGTAATCTATGGTCATTGAGAATTCTACTGGATCATGGATTATGGTTTACTTATCTATGTATGATCAAAATTATGGTTTCGCAGCTATAGTGCCCCAATCGAGGTTTCTTCTTCAAAGATCGTGGAATTAGGGTTTGGTTATTCATTGGTTTCACATTCATTCTATGTAATTGTTTCATCAATTGAGACTCACTGGATTAGGGTTGAGCTTCATCAAAGGATTTTCTCAAAGATGCGTTATTTTTCTTTATCAAGATTCTATTTGGTTGAGGTACAAAGTGCGAGCTACAATACAAAGGTGATTTGGTGGATTCATTTTGATTAAGACAATTTTTGTTATTTCAACGATGAGATAACTTTGAATCTTAAGAAATTGAAGCTAAAGGTTCAAGCATAGGTTACAAGTTCTAATTGCAAGGCGTGTTTGGGTTTGACTCAAGGTTAATGTTGAAAATCCATTCATATAGTATACAAGATACATATTTGACAAATCGAATTCATATTCTAAATTTGGAAGATTTATTCATTTGAAAGTAATAGAATACAGGCTTAGTTCAAGTTTCAAGCTCACTAGATGCATCTTTATTCATCACACATATTCTATTCAAAATCTCCAACAAAAATTCTTCAATTTACCACCTTCAATGCCATTAGATCATCACACCACATCCATCGTTCAAGTTTTAACTTACTTCATTCATCGTCATGGTAAATCACAATGGGTCTTCAATTGCTATAAAGGTTCATTCAAAGTGGCAAGCATACAATATCATCCATTATATATTTCAAGGTTACAATTTGAAGCATGTACAAAAGGAAATTTTGGAAATTATATGAGGAACATGGTTCAATTTATAAGATATTCATAAGAAATATATATGGAATCCATAAGTTTCACTCAAGTCCCATACAAACACAAAATATATTGAAAACCAAATTCTAAGTCTATCCTAATCTGCAAAGTTTCATTTTCATCTATCCTTTGGCCATGAGATCATGCCTCGCCGAAAAGCCAAAATATTCGCATTTAACCTGTACCAAAACCAATACAACTCCATATTACGAGTGTGCTGCAAAAATCTGAATAGTTTTCGGCATTGGCTTCCATAGTCCAGAACTCTAGTTAAAATCGTGATGATGTTCTTGCTGATTTTTATGACGAATGACAGAACGATTACTTGGCCGTGAACAAATGGTTTGCTCTTCAAGCCGATTCTGACATTCCTAGTAATGTTGAGCATGTGTGGGAAATTGTTAAACCACTGCCCGCATTTAACAGAAAAACCAGTTAAAAATCCAAACAATTCAAAGCCCTGCCTCAGTTCAAAAGCCCAGTAAAAATGCAGAGAAAATATCCAAACTGGAAAAATCACTTGCTGATACACTGAGGCATAATAGAAAACCATGAAACAGATAAAAAACCCAATAAAAAAACAGTCTAGTTACCATGAAAAGCAAGCTAACAGATAAAACCAGTTCTATAGGAAAATATCTAAAAATTAAAAACTCATATTCGATCTCAGCTCTCCATTTTTCCAATAACTAACCCAGGAATCAACAGTTCAAATTCGTTTGGATCTAACTAACTTCAGAACCAATAATAGATCTCAAACTGTTTCCTAACTACCATAACAGAAACCTATAACTAACTATTCTCTAACAAAATAAAAATGAAAGATAAAAACAGAGTCACCTCTTTCAATCGGATTCAGAACGATTATGTAGAAGAATCACTAGCACAAAACTCTCTCTTCACTCTTCATTTCTCAAAATTCTTCATCATCTTCAACATTCTTCAACTACAGAAGAATCACTAAAAATAACAAGAAAAACTCTCTCATCTCTTGGCTTCTCGTCTCTGAATTCTCGTGGAGTTTCTCTGCAATCTTCCACTGCTCCGTAATATTCATCATCCTCACTCATCTTCATCTTCAATCATTCTTCATTCTGCAGAAGAATCATAAACACTCCAGAAAAATATATATGCAATCCATATTCCACTTCACTCTCTTCCCTCCATCAACCTTCACCTTCATCATAACCTTATTTAAAGACCATAACACTCTTTTCACTCCCTTGAATCATCATCAATCTTCAAGAACCCACTCTCTGCTCCGTAACAGAGCCTGCAACCATCGATGATGTATCCTTCACATCGTCATCTTCATCACACTTCATAGAGTAGCATCATCATCATCGTGCATCATTAATCATTATCTTAGGAGATTGGATGTGTGTTGAATCGGTGATGAGCGGAGACGTAATTGATTAATGCGTAGAAAAAGGAGGCAAGCAATGGAGATTGTTGAAACAGAGGAGAACGGAGCCACGATGTTGAAATCAGAAGTAGATGAAGATGGAATAATACGCGATGAAGGGGATAGATGCAGTGACTCTGAGAATGTAAGGCGGAGGCTTCCGCCGCGGTTTGTAAGAAGAGTAATCACAGAGGAGTTGGATCGAGAAAATAAGCGCGTTTAAGGTTGAGAGTTGGACAGAGATTGCAGATTGACGAAGAAGAGAAGGTTCGTCGGAGGTGGACTGAAGGTTGTTGTACCGCCGTTGATTGAATGAGAGAAAAGAAGTAGTCTTCTTCGATGAATCTGAAAGGACATAACTCTTAACCGTAATGTCTCACTGTTCCACTTTTATTTTACTTTTTTTCTATATAGCTTTTCTTTTTGATTCAAATGAATAAGTACATAATAAAGAAAATGAAAAAATATGAGTGGAGTGTGTTGGTGGATGGGATGGACCGAACTACACACTATCCTGGGGCCCGTTCCTTGTTTTTCTTTTGGTATGATGAATTTGTGTTACCAAAAACAGGCTTTCTAGGCTACTCTTGATTGGGCTGCAGCGCCCAGGCTACTTCAGCATGCCACTTCTGGATTCAGTTTGTATCCCCTGGGTTTGTTTTGTTGTTTATTATTTTAGTAATTGTTTTTAAATAATTTTGTTAATTGTTTAGACTTGGTTGAATTTTTTTCGCATGATAAAAATAATAAAATAAAATATAAAAATAAGGTAGATTTTTTTATTTGATTTTAGGAATTAAATCTCGATTATCTGATTACTTGAGATTGGTAATTCACCTTTGTTTGTTGAGATTTGAGTCTTATGCAAGTTTATTGTGTGATATACGGATATGCTTGAGATTTAGATTGTGATTTATTTTCACATCGATGATGCCTTGACACTTATTTCGAGCATTTGATTTATGACTCTTTCTCTTTCTTGTTGAAGCTTACTCAAAGTTTTCCGGGTTTCTCTATTTTTGCTCACAGCGCTACGAACTTTTTTCCGTTTGGTATTTTATCTCGTATACCTCATTTCAGCATTTACCGTTTTCTAGAGATCATGTATAGTAGGGGAATTTATCTCTATCTAGAGATCTTGTGAATTAGGAAGCAGGAAATAAAGAGTGTGGGCTCAAAGTTGCTGTTTAAAGTCGTGTAGCAGGCTCCACTTTTTGTATGCTATTTGTGTTTGTTTAAAATCCTACCTTTGAAGTAGGTATTCCTCACATGAGTTTACATTTGTGCCCGCATTATATTACAGATAATAAGTCCTCAAAAGGAGGCAAGCAGGGAGGGCCCGTAATTGACCCCCACACATTCTAGTTCATGTCATCCTTAGGTCACGCTGTACGTCGATGCTTCGGAGTCGCGCAGATCTAGTGTATCAAGTCTGTCAAGTGAGGAAGGGTTTTATAATCAACCCCCCACACTTTGTCAGGAGTTTTCATTAGTCGATGTTGATATTCCATGATCGTTTATATTGTCTTCTGTCGCATACCTCGGTCTTTTATATCTTGGTTAGATGTTCAGTCTCTTTGGACGTCACATTTTCTTTATTTCATCCATCTCACTCTTGTTTGCTTAGGGTGATACGCTCCCCTTAGCTAAATCATTTCTCTTGTTTCCCCCATCCCTTTGAGTTAGTATGTGTAATACGGTAGGAGAACTGACTTGGTTGTTTTGTGTTATATCGTAATTTTTGCGGATAGCAAGAGTCGTCACCGACTTTTCTTTTATCCAATAAAGAAAGGGTGAAAATAAAAGGAAAGACCTTTGAGTTATTTTCTTGACTTCGGGGGGTAGGTTACGAAAAGGGAAGGTGTTAGCACATTTTTCATCCGTAGTTATCTACGGGCTCTTAGTTGCTTTCTAGATCACTTTTGAAATTGCTTTGTTTGAAATATGTTTGTGGTGGGTTTTGAAAGTATTTTTGAAAAGCGCCTTCGTTTAGGAAAACTTTGTAATGATTCTCGTCTCTATAAGAATGCATACAAAGTGTTGGACTTTTGAAAATATTTCATGTTTTGAAAGTGTTGAGTGTGTTTGAAAAGATGTTTGTTTTTGAAGATGGATTGTGAGCAAGCAACTAAGAACGTTCTACCTAGTCAAAAGTCTTTTGTTCATTTCTCTATTCCTTTGACATTGCTATCTTACCATTTATTGGTAAGTAGCCCTATCTTTGGATGTGAAGAGACGAACGTGGGTCATCATATAGTCATGGATAGAAATATTGTGAGATACCTTAGCATTTTTCTTAAGGGACTAAGATCATTTGCAAGGCAACATTCGTAGCATCATCGAGGGACTATGATCTTGTATTTTTTTTTTTGTTAAGATGTCTCACATGCATATCATGACTATTTTAAGGCAACAAAGTGGAGTTAACCCTAGAGGTGAAAATTGTGCAAGTGTTTTGTATTTCATGTTTGATTTATCTTGAATTAGGGCTTTCTAAATGTGATTTTATCTTGCCATACAAACCTTAATTTATTAGCATTTATATGAAAGCGATAAATTGCGGAAAGTAAATGTCCATTGCTATTACATCATTTAGGGATGGGGTATTCAAATTACAAGTGGGGATTGCAATAAAAAATAAAACATAATTATCTATTAGAACCATATTGAATAAATGTACAAGAATTGAAATGAACATAATGTACAAGGATAAAGAATGGTAAAAAGAAATGGAATTTGTTTGGTTTTGACCTAATTAACTAAAAGAAATAATTAATTAAATTAAGACAATTAAACCTAAATTAATTAAGAAAAGAAATTAAATTTACTCAAGGAACTATTTTTAGGTTTTTTAGGAAAAAAAATTTTATTTAATTAAACTAGTATAAAAATTAATTAGAAGAAAACCTAAGTTCTAAGTTAATTTTAATTAAAATAAATTAAAACCTAGGTCTAATATTAATTTGTTTAAGAAAAGAAATTAAATTTGCAATAAGAAAATATTTTTGTGTTTTTTGGTCTTGAAAAATTATATGAATATATAATAAAAATAAAATAAAATACATTTTGTCTTTTTATTAATAAATATAATAATTATAATAATAATAAAAAAGAAGAATAAGAAAAATAAAATAAATAAAATAAGAAAAGTTTGGTCAAGGGGTGAAAAAAGGATTTTGAGGTATTTGTTAGAAAAAACAGTTTTTTGTTTGAAGTCTGGCCCAATGATAATTTTGTAAACAGAAAGAAAACAAAAAAAAATTGAGTGAATGGGCTGCGTAGCTACTGAAACAAGGGGGGTCTGAATGAAGCAAAATGGGATGGCCCAAATGAGGGAGGCCCAAATGCGCTAGTTGTTGACAAACATGAAGTAAAATGTTAGGAAATAAAACAAAAGGTGCTCTTGAGGCTCAAACCCAGGACCCTTAACACAAACGCCTTACGCGCGCGCTCTCTACCACTGGGTGGCTATACATCTGGTGTATAAAACAAAACCATAAATATATAATACAAAACACTCCCATGTTCTGAACTTCATCTTCAACCTCACGCCAGCTACACCACCTGTATCTTACTCATTTCTCAATGAAAATTAAAATTGAAAACATGAAAGTTGTTCCATTTTTCCTCACAATTCAAGAAATGTAAATCACTTCAACTATAAATCAAAGATAAGCGAGAATTTTGTTGGCCCTAATCTGAACCCTAATTTTTCCAGAAATTTCAATCTCAAAATTCTCTAAGCTCAAGCAATATAAATGAAAATTATGAACATGGTTAGCTTCAGGGCAATGATGTCTACATTTTGTCTTTGAAAATGCAAGCCTAACAATGCCTAAATGAAGAGATGAAAGTTTAGAAAAATACCTCAAAAACTGAAAATCGTGAAATTATTTTGAGCTTGTTTCAAGTAATGGTGATGAACAGGTTAGCTTCCTTGAACCTCTAGGAAGCTAACGCAATAGTTGGCTTGGACTGAGAGTAGCTGAAATGGCCTGGAGAAGTCAAGATGCAGACATCTATTTTTGGTTATGGAGAATTAGGAAGATGATGTTATAGTTTGAAAACAGAGGTTCAGATAGTCTCTATATATGTATTAGAAGCTTTGTGAATGGTTTGGCCAAGAAACACACGAGGGAATTATGAGTTGGGTATTCAAAATCAGAAGTGACACAAAGATGGAGGTTTTATGTAATTTCTGGCTTGAGGGAGTTTAAGGGTGTTTTTATGCTTGTAATCTCGTGTCTTATGTTACAATGGACTTGTGTATATGCATGGAAAAGGTTAGAGATTAATTGCACAAGAGATTTCTAAGTTGTAGGGTTATGGCTAGGTTGCTTTGTTTTGAAGTAAAGTGGAAGACCAAAATCACAATGCATGGTACAAGCTATGTAGAGTGGTTGAATCACTTTAAAAATGTCTCTTCTGAGTTTTTAGGTTGAGTGTGTGCAGAAGGATCCATTGAGAGGCTCAAGAAGGGTTGACATTTGCAAAAGCATACTTTTCCAAAACGGAAGTCTTGCCTTTCTTCCAAAAATGGAAAGTTAAATTAGATAAAGCTTGGATTTAATGGATAATAGCCATAAAGTTTATGTGATATTCTGATTATGGAGAGATTTAGAGACTTGGAGGCCTGCAAAGCAAGATTACAAGGCATGGCTAAGAGATTTGAATTCTTGTTCATCATGGAAATGGCCTATAATTCAAGAATGAATGTCCAACTTCTTGTCTTCGAGACATTTTGGAAAGCTTGTAACATCCTATACAACTTTCATGTTGGACATTTTTGAAAAATAATTTTGGAACCATGTGAAACTTGGCCAAGAAGTTAGGTAAAAAATCTGCCTAACTAGAGCAAAATTTCACCAAGTGTTTTTGTTTCATTGTCATGTCTTTATGAATTAATAACTTGAGATCCAAGCATTTTTAGAACTTGATTACTTATAAAAAGTTTTAGATCTCATTAATATATACAACTTTCATGTTGGAAGTTTTTCTTGAATCATCTTGTATCATGGTGAAAGTTTGACACAAAGTCATGAAAAAAGGTTAACTTTCCAACACTTAGAAAAATTTATAAGTCTTAGAATTTTGACTTTTTAAAGATAATTTTGACTTTTTGATTTCTTGATGAAAAATCTTCATATTTTTAAATGTCTTGATGAAATATGATTTTTGAAACTTGATTTTGATCAAAAAGTCAAAGTTTGACTTTTTAGTGTA